TCTTGGTGGATTGTTGGTGCAAAGCTTGGCTCCAACTAGGGTTCAAGAGGCTTTGAAGAGGTAACAAGTTTCACCCCTCTTGATCTTCAATTTTATACAAGAGTTAGTGGTGGTTATGGGTTATTTGCATGGCAATTTGGAAACCCTAACCCAAAACTAAGCTAGAGGATTTGAGGAACTCCTTGTTTTTCTTGATTTAATAGTAGCCTTGAGGTGAACTTCTAGGTAGAGGACTTGAGGATTCTTACTTGTTTGGTTGTATTCTTGTGGTTTATGGCTTGGTTGTTGGCTTGAAAGTTGGAAAGAAACTTGAAGATGAAGGGGGAAGGTGCTGCCGAAATTTTGCTGGTTTATCTCCTTGGTTTGATTTCGAATTTTGTTACTCAAATGGCTGTAAAAATGCTTGTTATATGTTGTATTATGTGTGCAAAAACTATCTCTCAAAAATCGTTTCAATTGATTGGGTAAAATTTGAGTTTTGCAAAAAGAAGTAAATCTGGAAAACTGGTTCAGATGGCCGACCATGGTATCATTGACCACACATAAATTTTTGTACAAGAGTCGAAATCAAGTGCAGTTTGTGGCATTTGAAACTAGACACCAAGTGCTTTCTAATGGTTTAAAATTCCTCTGCTAATTCGTTTTGTGTGAACTGTAGCGAACCAGCAAATTGGACTGATCTGCTTCTACTGTTTACCCGAGAAAATCATACAACTGCATCTTGTGGCTCAATTTCGTCCCTCTTGTGAAAAGAATTTGAACATAATTTATTCTAATGATTTATAGTATTTTGAATCTAGTTTTCAACTCCATAAACCATTCCCAATTTGGACTTGTGTAGCATTAGTTATGGCCTGACTTCGAAACTGTGTCGAAGATTTGTGACTAAAAATCCGCGGAACAGGTTGCAAAAACCAGTTTTCTTAAAACTGTTGTATCTTGGTGTTGGAAAATCTGAATTGAGTTTTGCTTATTTTGTTTGAACTTGAATTGATGTTCTTTATGTCTTATAGATTTCAGAGGCTAATTCAATTCCTGTGAATTTTACCGAATTTTCAAACTTTACTGAAAATCAAAACTGTTCCTGCCCTGTTTCAATGAAATAGCAAGTTTGAGCTGAGATTTGAATGATTTCTGATTGGAATCTGGAAAAAGTGTCTTCTGGAAAGTTTTAGTACTTTGAATCTAGTTTCCAACGGCATAAAATTTCCAATTTTTGGACTTACGAAACTCAAAATATGATTTTTCAAGTGTTGTCGTATAAAGCTGGAAATTTCTGGTTTCCAACAAAATGAACTTTTAAGAACTTCCAACTTCCTTTTGAGATTGATAGTATATTTTAAACTTGATTTCATGGATGATACAAGTTCTCTTGTGACTTTAAATCTTCATTTTGAATCTCAGTTTTCGATGGATTAAAACTCTTTTGAGGCATTGTCCTAAGTTCTAAGCAAATGCATTTTCTTCCTTGAATGCTAAGTGGCCTAGGGTATCCATGAGTGATAGTTGGTTAATATTTTTTCAGATGCTCAAGAGGATTTCGAAAGGAATTCTGGTGCGGAGAACTAAAGGACTTAATTGCTTGCTTGATTTTGGAAATTAGTGAGTGTCAAGTGCATGTTTCATTTACTATAATTGAAATGATATGTGTACAAGTGTTACGTGCAATTGTCATGATTTATGAACTTGCCGAGGCAAGGGTGTACTTTATCGCCATTGTCCTCTCCCTCTTGAATACTTACTACTTGTATATGAAATTGCGTGACTTGAACTTGTACTGGAACGTGCTTGTAATCGTAAGTATTGAGTGGTAGCATGTACCACACCCTATTCGGGTGGGAGGTGCTTCTTATCCTGACTCAATATTATGATCGATTTTAAGTCGATTTGAGCATTGTCTCATCGACCACTCATACTTGTGAGGACGCCCAAAACCCAGTGACTAGCCATTCAACTCAAGCCAGTATGGGTTTGGTTGAAGATTTAGGTGAACCTTGGGCTCATATACTTTAGTTGCCTCGATATACTCGAGTAATATCAAAACTTTTGACGTTTGGATCCGGTAGGGGGTGTAACGATCGACGAAAATTGGTGAAAAGTGGGGTTCTACGGACTTGTTACTTGCTCGATTGACGGAGTGTCAACACTTGGAAATTATGGATCAAGATTATCGATGAAGCAGTGTGAATTTAGCTCCTGAGAGCTCTCGTATCTTTCATTGATTGTGTTTTTAATTCCTTTTGTGATTTTACATGAATATTATGGCTGCCTTTGTATTTATATGTTATTATTGCTAGATGTACCTGCTTGTTGCCTACTTTTCTTGGGCTCACTGAGCGTTAGCTCACTCCAAATTTGTTTTCCTTAACAGGTTTTGAGAGGTGGAAGTTGAGGACTTTAGAATAGCAACTTTTGGTCGAAGCTAGTAAATCTTGTGTATGACATTGGAGACTTTTAAAGTGTAAATTTTGTTATATTTGGATATTTTGGTTTGTAATTATAAATGGTAGCCTTAGGAGTTGTGGCTTGTACATTTGAAGTATTTCTTAAATCCTAAATCTATGGTTGACTTGTGGATTCCTTTTAAGCTTGAATAAATGCGTGAGCCCTGACGAGAGTTGGGCAGGCGTCTCGCTGATACCTTAGGGTTCGCCTTAGGGAGAGGTGAGGGCGTCACAGTTGGTATCAGAGCTTAGGTTTGAATTAGTTTGGACAATTAGGAGTCTTGATCTTGTGAAAAGTATATGTGATAGTATAAAGCATTAGGATCTAGTTTATTAAGTGTACCTGGATCTGTCTAAGTTTCTAATTGTAATTGTAAGTTATGGAAAGAAATGGTGGGAATGAGTCATCTCTGAGACGCCTTCCAGTGATTCGTTATCAAAAGAGGCTTGGGGCCCTCTTTGGCAGTGGAATCTAGCTCGTCGAGCTAGGCCTTCATGCAATTGTTAGAGGACTTACTTATACTCTAACTGTGTGGTGCTATCGGTAATCGATGATTGGAGATAGTCATCTAATGTGAATAGGATAGCTCAAGAGGATAATCGAGAATTGAAAGCGACTGTGGACGCACAGACCGTTAGGATTCATGAGTTGGAGACGAATGTACTCGAAGAGCAAAATAGAGCAGAGGCTCTTCATGAGCAGCTTCAGGAGGCTAAGCGCCGACTTGCTATGGTAGTACATGAAATAAGAGACCGGACAGAAGGAATGATGGGTGAGTGTGTTACCTTGGTTGAATAAGTGGTTGATAGCAAAATATTCGATGAGGGATAGGAAAGCGCAACCCTAGTGTTGAAGATGAAGTTGAACCTACTGAAATAGCCGAGACTTTTGACTCTACTAACCATTAATCTAGTAGTTTTCTACTTTGGTAGTTTTGTCAAGGATAATTGGGGTCTATTAGCTCAGTTCACTTATATTAGTGATCTCCTGATCTTTTTGACTTTTGCTAAGGACTTAGAAAGGGTGATCTTTGCTTTGAGGCCTTTTGTATTTTGTTGTATGTATCCCTATATTTTGAAACAATTGAATACCAATATCCTATACTTGATCTTCTAGATTTGTTTTGTGAACTCTTGACTTATAGTATGATTTTTAGTTTATGTAAAGAATTACGCTTTTATTTCAAGTGTTTTTGGAACTTGCATATGTTTTAAATTTCTATATTTATTTTCTCTCTTTTAATTATATGTTTATATTCTTGCTACATGGATCGACGAGAACGTGGATGGGGTCATGGATGTAGGTTTTGGCAACTCGCACTTCCGAGAGAGATGAGGGATCAGCGATTGATCTATACCAAAACCCTAGGATTGAGAGAAATGACCAAGTGGTTTCAGCTCTTAACCGCATAATTGATGTTCTTGAACGTCTATCTAGAGTTTTAATTGATCCCGAGGCAACCTATTCATTCGTGGACTCTAACTTCATAAATAGTATAGATGGAAAGTGTGATTTCTTACTCTTTTGATTTGAAAATTAAGACTCCTACGGGGAACCAGTGCCTAATTGTTAATAAGGTTTATAGAAATTATGAGATTTGGGTTGGTGAGAGGAAATTTTTGACAGATTTAATAAGCCTAACAATTAAGGGTTATGATGTGACCATTAAAAACACATACCCTTTGCCTCACATAGATGAATTATTTGATCAGTTGCTAGGGGGCCGAGGTATTTTCAAGTTAGATTTGAGACAAGACTATTACCAGTTGAGAATTCTAAAAGCGGATGTGCCTAGGACCGCTTTTAATTTGAGATATGGGCACCTTCATTGACGGAGCCAGGATTTTTTTTTTTGGGAGGCCAAAATTTTTTTCCTCATAAAATTATCTTAATATATTATGTTCAAAATAATTTTCTTCTATTTAAATATATGACATCTAAAAATATCAAATATTAAATTTAATTATAAAGGTATGTCTATTCATAAATATGCGTTACAGTCATAACAAAAATTAACAAAAAAGATAACCTTTGATTAAATATTTTATAATATCACAAACCATCCAATTTACACATTATGAGAAGATGCTCTCCAATATGTCATCTATGCATATATATATATATATATATATATATATATATATATATATATATATATATATATATATATATATATAACCATGTAATATAAATGTAACTATTTTCAATTGAAAAAAGATAAAAGTTATATTAACATACTTTGAAATTTCAACATCTTTTCTTAGAAGTAAATTGAAATCTACGCTCTTTCATAGAACTAAATTCATCTATGATTGAATCATTGCTAAATTTTTCAGCAACTTCCTTTTCTATATACACAGTTAGACAATCATTCAAGAAATTATCTTCCATCTTGTTTCGGAGCTTTGTCTTGATTATTTTCATAATTGAAAATGCCCGCTCTGTAGTTGCAGTTGATACAAGAAGAGTAAGAACAAGTCTAATCAATCTGTCAATAAGAGGATATATCACTGATTTTCTTGTTTTCACCAAGCCTTGACATAACTCATGAATACCAGATAATTCTTGCAATTCAGGATGATTTGGAATGTCAAGCTCAAAATGTTGAAGTTCTATTCTTAGACGTACCAGTTCTTGCTCCATAAAATCATTCGGATAGAACTTCTCTGCAAGATTACAAATATCATCAATCTTCAACAGCATAAATCCATTTCTAGGATCTAAAGCAGTGCTCAAAACAAGCAATTCCACGGCATGATCATTAAACCTGCTATGTAACTCTTGCAATTGATAATCAATTGTTGCAAGAAATAGATCCACTCGATAATAATGCTCCACACTAATCTCATCATGATGACTTCGAGATCTACCACGTCTTTCAATATATTGAGCATTCATATCCGGGATATCAATTTGATGTTGCTGGCAAAATAATTTAACTTTCACCAAGAAATCATCCCATCCCGAATCTCGAAAATTCTTCAGTAGCTTTGTTGTGCTTGAGACAAGATGCATTGCATTCAAAATGTCTTGAGATTTACTTTGCAATGCTATACAAAGAAGATGAATAATTTCCATAATGTCTTTCATAAGATGCAAAGTGAAAACAAACTCAAAGGATAACAACTGATTCAAAGCAAAATTTGCATCTCCACATTGAGAGTATGAACATCCATCTGCTGCAATGTTACTTAAAACCACACAAGTAGCATTGAACATTTTCAGTAAACTAGAAATAGAATCCAAATGAGAACCCTAACGAGTATCTCCAGCTCGTTTTAAAGCGCCAATTTGATTAAGCCCCCTTCCAGTTTCAAGTTCACCATTAGCAATCTTAGTAGCAACTTCAATTGCTTGAGCCTCCTTTAATTCATCATTACGTTTGCTAGATGCAGTAACAATGTTAATAATGAAAACTAAATTGGAGAAGAACTGGTGAACAGAAGCTACTTCTCTAGAAGTTGCAACTAAAGCAAGTTGAAGCCTATGGGCCAAACAACGAATGTAATAGGCATATGGACATTCATGGCAAATTAAAGCTTGCAAGCCATTCCATTCACCTCTCATATTACTAGCTCCATCATACCATTGTCCACGAATGTTATGAATGGCCAAATTATGTTGAGAGAGAGTAGAAAAAATAGCTTCCTTCAAAGCTAAAGCCACAGTATCACGGACATGAATAACACCAAAAAACCATTCACGGATGCATCCTTCCTTTTCTACATATCTCAAAACAAGAGCCATTTGCTCTCTTTTGGACTCGTCACGAGCTTCATCAACTACAATGCAAAATTTTGAATTTCCAATCTCTTGGCAAATTTCTTTTCTAACCTTACTGGAAAATATATAAAGAATCTCCTTTTGAATTTCAGGAGATGTATAGGAGGCATTGGATGGAGCATTTTCTTGAACAACATTTGCAACCTATCCATTAATAGAGCATAATTATAATTTTATAAAGATAATAAATAAATGGAAGCATATTATGAACTAAAAAGATTTCTTTCAAGCATGGATATTATATAAATTCAAGAAAGAATGCAAAGCTGGAAGAAAATCATTATTACCTTATCATTATAAGAAGCCAACAACTTAATAAGTTGATGAAAGTTTCCACGATTAAGAGATTTTTCACTCTCATCTTGTCCTCGAAAGGCACAACCTTGAAATGCAAGCCATCACACTACATCAATTGAAACTTGAAGCCTTAATCGATTAATCTCAACTTGCTCAAAACTTTGTTTCTTAATGAAAGTTCCAATGTGTTGAGAAGCATTCATCAAATCATTGCATGCTTTTACCGCAATTCTGTGAAATGAGTTAGGACTTTTCCCCACATGTCATAAGAAAGCACAATTATCTCCATTATTGACCTTCTTCCAATTGTTAAAGCCACCAAGAACAAATGCACTTAATTCAACTCGTCCATTCGGCTTACTAAATAGATAGCATGAAAGACAAAAAGTAGCATCAATTGATGGAGAATATTCAAGCCAAGATGGAAACAATTCAAACCAAGAGCTACAAAAATGACGAACATGTTTTTTTGAACCACTTGAAGGGTAATTTTTAAGCTTAACTTGATATGGCCCCCAATTGATATAAGCTTGACGAATTTCATCTTGTTGATTAAGAGGATAACTCCATATAGGTGGACGTTTTCCGGGATCACGCTCCAAAGAAGCAATATCAATCTTTTCAAGTTCAACTCTTTGAACTTTTTTGGGAGGTTCAACAACCAAACTCTCACTAAGAATAGAGGATGGAGTAGCATCACTCTCCTTGTGCTTTTGATCTTCAATAATTTTTCTTTTAAAAAATGCATCAATTGTTGTTGACTTACCCATGGAGAATAAATTTCAAACCTGAATTTAATTCACATTTCATAAGTTATCTACAACTCTAGCAAATTATCATAATAAATTATATATATGCCAAATTATATATTCATTATATTACTATTTCTTTGAACCACAAATAGAGTATGGAATCACAATTTTAAATGTTACTCACTTATTAAACAATAAAATACTTTATACATGTCAAATTATTTTTCTTGAGAAAAATATACTACAAATATAGTATAATATCACAATTTTGATACTAGAAATGTATTTTACAAGAGCATAAGATAATTGGAAAGAGGAAAAGATTAAATTTCATAATAAATTAATTATAAAAAGGAAAAGGTTTAATACAGGTACCAAAGAATGGAGCCACTTCACGTCAATTTATTGGATTCTACTTTCTAGCACCAAGTGACCAAACCACGGAAGCCACCAAACGGTCCAAACCAATCACGCGACACCTTTGATGAATCTTCTTTGAACCTTTGTTGTATTCGTCTCCAGTTCTCCTGTCCTCTTTGCAGTTTGCTCTTTTCACTTTACTTTTGTCTACCAACTACCAAGTACCACCGTGAAAGAAAGAAAGAAATGAAAAGTGACCCACATTTTCCTTTTTGATCCGCGTATCAGAGAAGTAGGCAAGTAGCTTACTTTGTAAGCTTTTCTTAGAATAGTAAAGATAAAATAATTTTTTTTAAATCTTGTATCCATTGGGCTAAGTTATATATTTGTATATGGGCCAATAAAATAATTATTTTTGTTTTAGCCCATTAACAATTATGAATTGGATCTTTTTATTCTAATACATCACATTGGGTCAATTTACTACGGAACATCAAATTATATGTTTAATTTTTTAAAGTTAAATAATTAATACAATAAAAAATAAATAACTTTTTTTGAAGAAAAAAATTAATTCAAAGATGACTAATTCATATATATATATATATATCAACTCTCATAATATAAACTAAAATTATAAAAATTAAAGGGAGGGCCAATTTTATTTTACATACATATTTACATATTATAAATTAAAATTTTCAAAACTTATGGCCCCCCCTCTGCCCCCCTGGTTCCATCATTGGGCACTTTGAATTTGCAGTTATGCCTTTTGGGTTACCTAATGCGCCAGTAGCATTTATGGACTTGATGCATCGAATCTTTAAGTCGTATCTGGGCCAATTTGTGATGATATTTATAGACGATATATTGGTATACTTTAAGTCTCAAGAAAATCATGAAAGACACCTGAGAATAATTTTGCAAACCCTGAGAGAGAGCACTAACTTTTACTAAGTTCAATAAGTGCGAGTTTTGGTTGGAAAAAGTGTTTGATTGAGCCACCTGTATTAGCATTGTCGAGCGGCGGATATGGGTTCCATTCTTATATACGAATTTTGACAAAATTAGGATTGACGTCTTGATAGAGGATGATACCAATCATTAGTGAGACGAAGAAGTTATAATTTCTTTTTCAACGAGTTTATAAGTGAGTGTATAATGGAAAATGAGTTAGGGCCCGGAACTTCTACTTTAAGGAATATGATTCTATATCTTATTATATGTGTAAGCGATGATAGTAATCTTTATAGAAGGATTAAAAAATAGGAGTAAGTACTTGTATTTAAATTTCTTGTTTATCTAGGTAGAAATATCTAGGATTTATGTTTTAGGTGACCTGTAAGCAAAAGGATGGAAGAGTTATACGGCTATAGTTTCCAAGTGTGATTAGTTATTTATTTTGATCCTTTGATTTTCTTGACAGGACATCATTTGACCTTAAGGAGATTAGTGATATGACAAATTTGAAAGAGATGCATAAGGAAATAGACATCTTTCGAATGGAGGTAGAATTACAAAAGAAATTGGCTGACTATTGGAAAGGACGATGGATACAGGAATATGCGGAGAAAATTGAGCTGCTATACAAGAACATGGAATTGGAAAAGAAATACAAAGAGATCTCAGACGAGGTACGGGATAAGTTTGAATTGGGGTATTCACCTAGTCAAGTAGTACCTCAAGACCTTCCTAGTAATGAAGTTAGAAGGGGTGAAAGAAGTTCTCACGATACTGAAAGGAAACGTAAAGTAATTAGTGAAGATGAACTCGCTATGAAGGATAAAGAGAAGGGGAAAAGAAAGAATGGACCCTTCAAGAAGAAATGCGTAGTCGCTAAGGGTGAATTCTGTAATAAAATTCATACGGGATTATGTCATTCAAAAACTGGTGTGTGTTTCAAATGCGACCAACTTGGACATCAAATAAGGAACTGTCCAAGATAAATGAATTTCTTGAGGATAAAATGCAGCAATAGTTAAAGTTAGCAACTATTGATGTTTTATTTGATATAGCTGTATTTATTAGGCTATGTACAGTGAAAGATTTATATATAAGTTGTATTTCCGTTAGAAACAGTGAACTTGCTACCTAATATTTTGATTAGTGATATTAAACATATGTGATTGTTTGGAGTTAAATTCCTATCTGTGATTCAATTTTTGCACCTTGTTCTTGGATTTGGACAAGAATTCTTTATTTGTGGTTAATAATGAAGGATGGCAGTTCGATTAGAGAAGATAGTAAGTGGCCAGTGTACTGTGTTGATTTCAAGAACCAGTAGAGGTAGTAACCAAGTTTCATAGTTACCGGTTTCACTTTAAATTTGGGTCTTTAAGCTTATATTACCCTGCACCTTTTGATATCTTTGTTAAACTTCCTTAGCATGTTAGTTTAGCGTTTATGTGGTAAGATTTTCCCTTTAGGTAAGTTTGTGGTAGTACTATGAGTAAGGAAAGACCATTTTAGAATTGGAGAATATCTTGTAACATCAAGTTTATGCGTGCAAATGTGAGAATTTTGAGGATGAAATTCTTTTAAGGGGGGAAGGATGTGACAACTCATATTTTTATTCTTAATTTAGTCTATTTTAAAATTATTTGCATTGATGTTATGTAATTTTATTATTTTAGCATTAATTTTACTTAAATTATATTTTTATCGTTTACGCGTCAAAATTTTTCAAAAGTTGCACCGGCGCGACTAATTGGAGATTTGGAGAATTAATTTTAGACTCGTAAGAATGAGTATTAGTGGTGCAAGAGGAACTACTTTGGAAGATTAGTATTTAAATGTTGCAATCAAGAAGGAAATTGGTAGTGCATGACACTATTGAACCACCATTCATGGTTGACCTTCTCAACCACCAAAAGTTAACTTGTCACTCAACCTCACATCACAATTCATCTTCATCTCCTCTCATTTTCTCTTTCTAAGTGGCCGAACACTCTAGCTCAAGAAGAAGGGAGAAAAGCTCCAATTTTTACCCACCAATCTTGCTCCAAGATTCATACAAAATGCTCAAAA